TTGGTATGTTTAGGTAGCTTTGTGCCATGAGGTTTAAGGTTGCTGATCTATCCAGTATTGGGGTTATATGGCCACTTTGAATAGTTATAGCCGAAGTTCTATGCACATTACTGGCCGACGACACAATTAAGAGTATAACGGTTTTAACGCTATCCTGGGGTCTTATGGATACGTAGCTACAATTGACAGGGTACGTATCTACTTTATTTATTTTTTGTCAAAGTAAAAAGATTCTGTACTGTACATTAACAATTCAGCCGTCATGTTTATCCATCCAAATTTTGGGTTTCGACAAGGGGCGCGGAAATTGTGTGATTTAATGTCATTAAATCAAATCGCACTAAATCGCATAATTTCACATAATTTATATAATTTTTAATGTCAGATGTATTCGTTTTATGTTCTCAATATAAATGTTATCGGCTTGATTTGACCTGTATATTTGACTATTATAAAAGCTGATTATAACAAAACCAAACGAGCTAATAGCATAATAGCATGTTAAAGTGAGAAAAACTAATTTTCTTTCTCCTTCAATCTTTTAATTATCTTCTATAAAGTTACAATACATCAAGATAATAAACTCAACAATAAAGTGGATAAACTAGTCCATAGCCACTCTAAAACACTACTTCTTATTTCAACTCTTACAATATATACAATTCTCTATTTGTTTCTATTTTTTAACAGCCACCCTTGAACTCTCTATTTGCTGCAGTATTTGAACTATTTGCAATATAAATATCTTTGCACAATTGTCTTCTCAACATCATTTCTAACAATGGTCTTTCTTTTCTCATAACATTCATTGGAATTCTATCTGGCTATATCTTAACAACAATTAAACAGTTTCAAACCTTACACATAGCTTTCAATCTTTTATACTCAAAACATTCAGAGTAAAGTAATTACTTAATTACCTCCTATTTCACATATTTTTTATAAAAGATACCTCTCCTACTCCAACTCCTGCTACATCTATTAACAACCTACTTATACACTACACTAAGGCTATTTGTCCTTCCTATAAGCCTCTATTAACCCTCCTTAATATTTCCTTATAACACATATTAACCTCTAGCAAACTTCAAATTTCACAAATGCAATCAAATTATCTTTTTTGCCAGATTAAAAATCTTGATAGTTTACAAACCCACTTTTTTATTTCCAAACCATTATTGTTCTTTACAATTTTAGGCCTTGTCTCACTTAATATTGTAAACACATTATATAAATATATCTCCTCCAACAATACTGTTTACTCTTTTACTATTCAACTTCTCCTTTATCTAAACCAACCAATTTATACAAATATTTGGATCTCTTATTGCATCTCAAAATCACAATCTAATCCCATTCTAAATAACAATAATAATATTACTTTTACCAATTCTACTCTGCTTACTTCTAGTTCAACCTTATTCTAAAAACTTATTTAGTCTTTATATACCTAACTCTCTTCACAAAATAGAAATTTGGTACTCTAACTGGATTAAATTCTCTTTACATCTCTTTCTTATTCTTACCTATTCCCAAATCTAGATAAGCCTTGACCATTCTGGTAGGTTTAAGCTACAGATAAGTATTTAGGTTTACTTAGATACTGTATAATGTATAAGTTCTTTTTTTAATTTTAGATTTAAAAGATAAAATCCTTTTCTGACTATATAAAAAGCTTTTGTTAAATCTAATAAAGATAAGAGCAAGGTTTTAGCTTGAATATTAAAAAAAAAAATATTATTTTTATATAAATTCTATATTAATTAAATAATATATAAAATTAATATATATAATTTTTATATAAATTCTATATTAATTAAATAATATATAAAAATTAATATATGTAATTTTTATATAAATTCTATATTAAATAATATATGAAAATTAATATAGATCATTTTTATATAGTATTCTATATAACAACTATATAAAGTTGTAGATTTATGCTGATGAAGTCTAATATAAATTCAACAATCTAATAATTAATTCCTCTTGTTTTATTCACTTAAGTTGTTATTTTAATTGCAATTTGTTGGTGCTAGAAACGTAACGATATGGAATACTTCAACACAATAATATCATATAATTACGTATTCAATAATGAAATATTAATATGTAAAAGATGTGCATTTACAAAATGTACTTATAGCTTGTATAAATAAGCTATATAAAATATTATAATACAAAAGTCAGTTACATAGATAAAATTTGAGGATAAATAATTATTTAAAATATTATGTACAGATTCATACATGCTATGCTGTCTATATGAGATGTATAAATCCTTCTTTGTCTATAGAGATGATACGAAAAGATATAAAAAAAATACTTATTGCAAAATGATCGCAATTTTTATTTGCGAATTAAATTATACGAATTATTTGAAAGGCAAATTTAGTGCAAGTTAGAATTTGTAACAATAAGCACTTATAGTATTGCGTTGAAATATATTTTATGCTTACAAACTAGGTGAAATAAATAGAGCAAAAATATACAAAATAAATCTTACCAAAAATAGCCTATAAAATTCTTTATCACAAAATTTAGTAAGTAAAATAAGTGTAGCTAAATTTAATACAAAGGGGTGATTTCAGTAGAATTTCCAAAACTAGGTACAAAATTACTCAAATCACATAAAAGTGAAACTTGTATTTCAATCAATAAATATGTTATTATGATTCTGGAATTTTTACTTTTTTAGCAAAAAAGCTATGTGTTTCTATATAAGTACAATTTTGATTACATTGATTATCGAAATCTTCAATTAATTTTTGATAATCGCTTTGGGATATTCCCATATAAGTAGCAGATTCATAAACTTGTTGAACGGCCTCCAACACCTAAAATAACTATGATTAAAAATCGAAGGTCATGCTAAAATATATGCAATAATATTAAACCTTACACATTCTCCACCTCTTCCTGCCCATCCTCCTATTGATTCATTCAATTTCCTGTGTTCGATATTAGTTAATTCATTAATTGATTTGATACATTTAGATATTTCTAAAAATATCATTGGTTCGATCCCATTTTCTTTTAACTTTGTATGAACTATAAATAAAAATAATTAATTTTTAGAAAATGTGAATTACAAATACATTATATATACAGTATCAGTTTTGAACACCTTTATAAGCCTAGAAATTGAATTAGACTTATAAGTTCCAGTTTATAAATTTAATGGATCAAATTGGTCCAATTGACCAACACTGACATTTATGTAAACTTACAAGCATCTTGAACACCTTTCATAGAATTTCCCAAATTTTTAAAATCCATATTAGGTTCGAAAATCTCAATCCATCCGTTGTATTTCGTTACACGTACTAATTCATGGATTACATTTATGTACTGTTGTTTAGTAAACGCTGACCACATCGATGACACATGAACATAATCAAAAGTTTCGTTGGGAAATGGAATTCCACTTATTAAATTATATTCTAGAAATCCTGTATTTGGAGGACGTTCATTTACTGGTGGAAATCCACTTGATTGAATATCTTAGTGATTGGACCCGTCAAAAAAATGCCACCCGGGTCACCCGCGGGTGGACCCATGAGCCACCCGGGTAGAACCCGG